TTATAAAAATTACAAAAGCTACAAAAATTTATGCTGAAGTCTCTGATGTTAAAACCTCTGCTGCTGATAATTCTTTCGAAGATTTAGAAAATCTACTGATCCAAGATTTTACTGCTTGTTCTGTAGGGATTTCGTCGTCTTCGGAAATTTCACCATTTTTTACCATTTCTTGTAATCTGTTAACCATATCCTTTGCCGTAAATCTATTACTTTGATCTAATTGATCAGCTATAAAAAAAGTTTTGAGTGCAGATACTATATTTGGCGAGATACGTTTTCCTCCTCTTCTACCTAATTGTTGATTTTGTTTAAGAGCCCATCCAAGATTAAGAGGAAAGTAGATAGCATTACTATTAAAAAATAATTGAAATAAGAAATTTGAAATTAATAGCCATTTTTAAAAAAATTCACACTAAATTTACCTATCTATATTCATAGCGGACGGCCCAATGAAGTCAATATTTTCATTTTCTTTATCTTGAATCTTCTCAAAATCTATCATTCCCGAACACAAATAATCATTCAATAAAGTGATTAATTCAGAACGTGTTGCATTTGCCTCAAAACTAATATTATAATTTTTTAATTCTTGTTTTAGTTTCTCTGTTTTCCAACGCCGCATATCCCAATGGTCAGCATTCATTGCTATAAATTAATTCAAGATAAATAATATTCAAGGAAGTTGATTATACTGTAAAATACTAAAAAAAAATTTTTTAAATAGTTACTTACATGATGCACGAGAATAAGGCATATTTCACGGTGATTTAGGCATTGTATGTTTCGATTTTTCTGGATGAGGTTGTACAACTTCAGTTTTTGCATATTTAGCTATATCAGCGGGAGAAAAGTTTGACTATTCACCAAAATTTGGTAGAGAACGTGCATGAATAAATCCTGCATATGGTCCTTCAGATGGCCAGCTCCATTCAGACATATTCGAAATCCCAGGTATAGTTAAAAATTTTTTTTTGTTTGTTTGTATGATTTGGTTCTAAATGAGCAACTGACATTCCACCTAAATTCTCCATTGCATTTTCTATGTCTATACCATCTTCAATATCAAATCCATATCTAACATATCTTTTTATCGCATGAGAAATCTGAAACAAATATTTATAATTAGGATTTTTCAAAAAAAGCTGACAAAATCTACTTACTTGGGCATGATGTGAGTCAATAAAAGTCTTTGCTTCTCCGGGTTCTAAAAAAACCCATTTCCAAGGTTCAATATTATACCAGTCTTTCCAGTATGAGATTATTATCATCAGCTCAGAGTTATGATAGTGGGGACCGTTGTCTGACATTATTGTTATCCATTTTGGTTTTTTTCTAGGGATGTAAAGACTGCATCAAAAGAGCTTGCTGTAAACCATGCATCTTGTCTACTGTCTGTTGACCAATAGTCATAAGCATGTATATTTAATTTGTTGATTTGGTGATTACTAATACTGTATATAATGTAAAACCTCGTTTTGCAAAAAAATCTTGTTTTGTCTCACGAGCTTTTTGGGGTAATATTTTCATTTTGTAGTCAACTATTAAAAGGGCACCATTCTTATCTAACTCCAAAAGGTTTGCATTAAATTGACTATTTAAATAAACCTTTCGACATTGGTGAGCAATATAATATTCAATTTGTTTTTGTAATTCATTTAGATCATTGTGACTTGAATGTGGCAGAACTATTCAAAGATTATTGAATAGCAAAAAGACTTGTGCACACTCTACGCATTCTGATAGGTAGTCTTCTGCACATTGTCCAAATGCAAATGGCAAGCAATGGTTAATAGCTTGATTATGACTAACGTGTCCATTACTAGATACTTGAAAATGGTTGCAGAAGTCATGTCGCAAGTATCCTTGAATTTTTTCAATCAATTTGGTCAATTTATTCTAAAATAATCATAAGTTACTGTATAATTTTTTTTTTAAAAAAAAAACTGTTTTACATGAAGTGCTATAGGATGAAAACCTGGAAGTGAATCTTTGAGTTTATTATGTAACAGATTTAGTCTTGTAAGACTAAGTCTGTTATAGTGATAAACTCAAATATTCACTTTCAAGTTT